GGAGAACAGACCATACATGGCAGCAATGTACATTGCACATACTTATGGATTAAAATAAAATGTTGAAAAATAATAATTTTCCATCTTAATTTTATGTGATGGGGTTGAGTTGAGTTATTGTCCCTGACAATAATACGCTTCAAAAATATGAATGAAAACTATGATAATACTAACCATTTTCTGCACCAGTATTAAAGAGACCTGAATTATGTAATTTCTGGTAAATTATGTCACATATGTGTGGAGACTAGTATTATATATGGGCATGGAATTGTTAGTGTGACGGGGTTGAGTTCAGAATGAGGGACATAACTTTAACATAAAAAGGCTTTAAAATACTTTAAAGTTATGTTTTTTATAAAATATCTTGCATTTTTTAGAAAATATTTTTCACAAGAAAGGAACACAAATAAATGCTTACATTATTTCCAAAAATCATAGAAACTATGATTTTTAAACTATGAACTATGAGTATAAACTCAGTGAAGTGCCTCAGGGACATGACAAAATGCTTGGTTTAAGATAGATATAAGACATTATTTTATGCTAAAAATTATTAAAATTCAATAATTATTTTTATTCATTATAATGTGCATACCAAAATATTGTCTCTAACAATTAGGCCTCTAACAATTCATTTTGGTACACCACCATTTTAAAAACTCTGGGAGGCTGAAATATTACTGAATGACCCATATATAATACAACACTGGTAAACTGTACTACACTTTACTATCATAACTTTCAATGAGTCACACATAAAATAAATAAAAATGACATTTTTAGCAGTTTTGAAAAGAACATTATAATATATATATATATATATATATATATAGTATTTATTTATTTTGTCATGACCACATTACCATCTCAGTGTGCATTCATTTTCAGTAATTAAATGGTCTGTTGTCAATTATTTCCGACTTAAACTTTGAACATTTGGTCGCTAATGAAATACATCAACTTCGCGCTGTGGATCGCCGGATCGGCTTTCACCAAGGACGAAGCGGAGTCCAGCCCGGGGTCGTCACATGTGGTTGCTGCAGGCATCACAAT